GTGATAGGAGGGGTCCGGGGTCCTGGGGCTGGCCCAAAGACCAGACACCGAGGGGATGGGGGAGAGGGCAGGAAACCAAAGGGAGGACCCTCAGGGAGAAGGGAGGGCAACTTAGAGAAGCAGACGGAGGGGCAGAGAAAGAGAACTCTCAAGTAAAAAGCCTGTACTTGCAAATACTCATCTGAGGGGAAAGGGAGTGTAGGCTACACACTTACTCCAAATGAGCATTTTCAGAACACCCACCACTTTGGAACATGTCCTCAGTCCTTCCTTCCCTCATTCATACATGCAGGCGGTGAATCCACAGTGACTGAAAGTCCAACTGACAGGAGTGAGGAGTCTACCAAAGGCGGGTATTGGTGGTAGCTAAGATGTTTTATTTGAGGGTGGATTCCATTTTGCAAGACAGACAAATGGTCTTCACAGCCAAGTCTGATATGTCACATTGGGCAGGGCTGGGTCCCTGAGCTCACTGCCCAGCTGTCCCTTAACCACCTTACCCATGTGGGGAATGCTCATGTGGGTTCAACTTGGTGTAATTTCAACGCTGGCCCAGCAGACCTCATGCCAGAGGGAGCTGTCGCCTTGCCCAGTCCACCTGCAGCAGGGCTTGGGAGGCAGGCGGACGGAGGGCCTGGAAGCACCCACGTGCGTGCGGAGGCTCTGGGGCGTCTGCATCTCACACCCTGCGAGCGAGTTTGTGGGATCCGGCTAAGGACAGGACAAATGTCAGATCTTTATAAAAACCCAGAAGGAGTTGGGAGCTATTCACTAAACGTTCTCACTAAACATATTCTTTTCATATTAGCATCACACAGAAAGAAAGGGAGAAGGGAGAGAAAAGTGAGTACAAAGGGGATGGAGAGCTGAAGGCCTTTGAAAGTCACTGGGATCGGGGGCTGGAAGGATCCCTGGGGTCTAACCAGGAGCCCGCACTGGCCCATGGGTACAGCTGGGGGAGGCCACCAGCTCCCCCCCAGCATCAAGAGTGACGCCAGCTGCCCCCCAGGCCACAGCTAGCCTCTAGACTTCAATGCGGCATCAAAAACGTTGAGGCAAACCGAGATACCTATCAATGAAATGACTTGATATCGAGGACTTGCTTCAAAATAATACATGAACTGAAGCTAGGTGGGGGACTCCTGGGGGCCTCAGTCAGTGAAGCATCTGACTCTTGGTTTAGGCTCAGGTCATGATGTCAGGGTCCTGAGATCAAGCCTGCGGCTGGCTCAGAGCTCAGCGGCGAGTCTGCTCGAGATCCTCTCCTGCTGGCTCTCCCCACTTCACGTTGGTGTGTGTATGTGCATGCTCTCAAAATAAATAAATCTTAAAAAAGAAGAAAAAGCTAGGTGGTACATGGATGTTCATCATGCAAGTATGTCTACTCTTCATCATGCTTGAAATAAAAAAATGTATGATAAGCAAAAAATCCTTTAAATGGAGGAGCTCCAAAGAAATCAAAAATGGCAGGTAGAAGGCTAGCAAAGGAATATAAGCCATAGAATATAGGCAGAAATTAATGAGAATTGTGTCTTGGCTTTTCTTAAATAACACTGCAAATCAGGGGTTCTGAGCCAGGGGATGATGGATGAGCTGTGTTCCCTGAGCTCCCTGTGCAAAGTGACCTGATAGTTTTCAAAGAATCTGTGACTTTCCCCCGGAGGTGAATAAATTGTATTCTCTCTTAAATATGCTATGCATTCATTAGTCACTGGGGGTGTGGTTTTTAAGTAGAGGGCTTATTTTCTAGAACTGGCATATTCACATCTGGACCCCATGTTTTCATCTCTCCTCTCAGTCAGCCAGACCTGGAACAGGACAAAATTGGCCAACCCACTTCACGGCCCAGCTCCCAGGGGGCGGCTCTGGGGGGCCCCACAGTCCCTGAGCCTCGGCAGTGGAGGTCAGGGAGAGCCGTGGCAGAGAGAAGGATACGCAGTGGGGAGGGGAGGCCAGTGAGGCTCCCTGGGGTCTGAGAGTGGAAGGGGGAAGGGGTGTGAAGGCTGTCATCCTCTGGCTTTTGGCTGCGAATGTCCAACAGAAACCATGGTTTTGAATAGTCTGAGGCACAAAACCCAGAGAATTCCTTAGAAAACACCTACCCGTTCCTCACAGGGGAGCATAACACCTGATGTGACGTCATGTCCCTTGCAGTGAATTCTTTCAAGAAGGCCCGCTCCACACAAGCTCCCCAGAATGGGCAGAGCAGGCTCTCACCTGGGCTCTCAGCCTCGTGGGCTGGGGAAGTGGGGTTCGTTTAGGGGACCTTGGGGGTCTCATCGTGGAATCATCCTCACAGTTAAGTCAAGGGTGAAGGCCTGCCCCATTTCCTAATGCATTAGGGCTAACATTTCACAGGCTAGTGCGAGAAATAAGGACATGGCCCTTGGCCTTGGGAACGGAAGTAGGAAGAGAGGATGGAACACGGGGTCCAGGCATTACTCTGGAGCTGGGGCTCTGACCTCTGCTCTCTATCACCCTGCTTCAGGGGAGACATCTGAGGGCTGAAGTCATTCCCCACTCTCCCACAGGAGGGCACAGACAGACCAACAAGGACCCTGTCTCCCAGCACTCCTGTCTTCTCCCTGACCAGGTTCCTGAAACCCAGAAGCTTGCCTGCCCCTTCACGTGGAAAGAGATGGAGGCCCTTGGTAAGCTCTGCCTGAAGGGAATGAGACAGGCTAGAGAAGAAGGTCTGTCCCAGGGCAGGGGCTGATGAAGGCTCTTGGCTGATCTGCTTCTGTCCAGGCTTTCACCTCAGAAGGACCTGCTCCCTCCTTGCCACCTCTTCACCCCCAAGTCCTGGTTCCATCCTTCCTCCTTTGAAACACCCCCCCCACCCCAACACACAACACACTTTCCTTCTCAACCCCTCCCCCTGGCTTTCAGGCTTTGGATATCTCTTTATGTCCTGAGAGAGAGGTGGGAGGGAGCATGTCAGGAAGCTCCTCCCTCTTTACCCCCTGCCCCCAGAACCCTGACTCTGAGGGCATCCTCCAGAACAGGGTTCTCTATCCATGTAAACTGTCAATGCAGTGCAAGGTGCAGGACCAAGAGAAAATGCTTGGTGGCAAGTTTTGGGTTGTGTCCTCGTCCTTCCTTGACTGCGGTCCCTGCCTCTGCTGCCTCCTTCCCAAACGCCTCACAGTGCTTCACCACCACCCCAACTCAGGACAGGTGGCCTCAGTTTCCTCCTGTCGGGGAGGAAAGGGGGACTTTCTGTTGCATCTGGGCACTATGGCCATCCCTGCCCAGGAAACAGAAGAATGGGTTTGCAATGGAGACTTTCAGAGACACACCACAAGACGTTTCACAGTGTGGCTCGGGACCTCCTTTTATTGCCCCCATCACCTCCCAGAAAGCACTCCCTACAGCTTAGGTTCCAAACGAGCACCCAGGTAGCACACGGACTCCATGGAGGGAAGGACCAAGCTATGGCCAGTGGGCCGGCTGGCCGGATTCCGAGAAGCACAGACCACTGAAGTTTTTTTTTTAAACTGTGCTTTATTTAGGGCTAAGCTGGAGAAAGCGTCATCCAATAGTTACAGAAGGTTACAAGGAGTTTTAGGGAGTTGAGTGTGAAAAGAGCAGTTGTACTGAACTGCGGCTGTTTTTTTTTTTTTTTTTTTACAACATCTGGACATCCTAAAAGGAGGAGCCAAGAGAAAGAAAAAGAAAATTTAAAAAATAATAATTAACCAATGAAATAGACAGAAAGAAAGGAAAGGCAGGAGGCCTAAGAGGAACCAGACAGTTGTTCTTCTAAAGCAAAATAAAAAAGGGGGGGGATGGTAGGTCTGAGAGCCCCCTGGCCTCCAGATGACCTGAACATCAATGGGAGGAGGGTATCAAGGCAGAATGCCAAAGCAAGTCTTCCCAACGGTGCAAATAAATTATAATAAATATGTTATACTTTAAAATATATGTGTTCTTAAATAATTCAGTGTTTTTTTCTGATTCTGAGTTTTTTTAAGCAATGTCTTTTTAACTGCTCTAAAGTCATTTACCAAAGATAAATATCGTGCTTTCATTAAATAGTTTTCCTTGTTTTTTTCTCTATCATTACAATTAAAAGTCCTACAAAATATGCAAATTTATTTACAGAAAAACAGAGCCGGCATCATTTAAACATCCCTGTTTTTCAAAATTCCTTGTAAACAGTTTCAGAAATTCTTCAAAGATTGTTTATTTTTCTCTCTCTTGTTTAAGGTTTTTGTGTGTGTGTGTGTTGTTTAGTTGTTTTAAGATGAATTTCCCAGGTCTCCCTTGCCCGGAAAGTCTCTGGAGCAAGCATGGAAGGCGAGTGAAGCGGCAGGTGTCGAGGGCTTGCGGAGAGCGGGCGAGCGCGCGCAGCTCCCGAGCGAAGCAGGCGAGGGCTGGCGGCGGGCCTTCCAGCGACGGCGCGGCCCCCACCGGCGCGGTGAGCGGCCGGGAGCCCGCAGGTCTGGGCGAGTCCGGCCTGGCCCTCGGGGTGCACGGCGGCGTCCGACAGCACTCGCGGGGAGAAGGGATCGATGCTCAGTCTAAACTCTACAAAAGTACAGTCCTACAACATCTGGGATTTTAGCAGTAACGCTAACTTCTATAGGTTTTTTTTTCCTTTTTTATTTTTTTTTTTATTTTTTGCTTTCCTCTAATTTTTCTTCTATTATATAGGTATTTTAAACGTCTCCTTTTTAAAATTCTGTACAACTATTATGATTTTAAGAGGGGGAAGAGTTAGAAGCATTTACAGACTTTTCACAACAATTATCTTGCCTTGTAAGTCCCTTTTTTCCCCTCCTTGTTTTCTCACACTTCACAGTTAATGAGTTTTAATATTTTTGTTGCTTTCCCCAAATATCCACCAATTTGTTCATCTTAACAGCTCCATCCAGACATATAATACAGAAAACCATAGGAAAGTGTCATAGACTTGAATGAGGGTAATCAAAGCGCCTCTCAAAGTATCAAAGAACTATTATCTTGCTGTTTTAAAAGCATTGAAGCATTATTTTTCCTTTTTTTTTTTGTTTTTGCTTTTTTTGTTTTTTTTTTTTATTTTTTTATTACATTTTTCATAGAATCGCTCTAAGCTGTTTCAAGAACAGCCACGAGGCAGGAAGGAGATTCTCCTCCATCCCCCTCTATTTGACATAGAGCTACACAGCTGCAATAAAAAGTTTGGTCCTTTGGTCCCTAAATAGCTAAAGGAATGACAGATAGAGATGCTCAGTGGCGGCCTCCCAGCCGCCCCCTGGGGACCAGGCCCCGCCACACCGCTCGCCCCAGCCTGCCTCAGGCGCCCACGGGCTGGAAAAGCCCCGGGGATCGGTAAGCAGCGTCTCTTCCCACTTCCCAGCCCTTCAGCCTCCCCATCTGGTCTCAAGTTATTTTGTTTTAAAGTTGCCTTTTTTGTGTTTTTTTTTTCTCATTTTTCTTCATCTTCTTCTTTGTGTCATATATATTTTCCCCCAAACACGTGCCCTCTGAACTCCACAGACGCTATACTTTCCTTGAAGAAATGTTACAGTCACAGAGAGTGTCTGGAGTCTTCAGCTTGATTGATATTGGCTGATATGTCAAAGGTGTCATCCAACAGTTCTCATTTATAAATATATATAGAGAGAGGTTTGTTTTTTAATGTAGCCCGTTCAGCATCCTGCCCTAAAATGAAGAAAATCAGGGCTGATTTAGCCAAGAGAGGAAACACAAAATGCATCCAAACACCAAAAGGACCCTGCCTCAGGGGTTAGGGTGGGAGCTCTGGGGGATGGCGGGAGGGAGGGGAGAGATCAGTATGAGAATTAGTCATGATCATGATACATAAAAAAGAAATCGACTCTTCTGTTCAGAGTAAGAAATCACTGGAGGTCTAGTGGTGATGGTTGTAGCTGAGGTTTTGTTGTTGGGAGAGGGGTCTCGATTTGGGTTCCTTTAGAGTTCTGGAATGGGGGGGCTAGATCTAAGGGAAGAATTTGGGACTGTGGGATATGAATTCACAATTAAACCAATGTCTGAGGGATCTAGCCCAGATACAATATGTATACAGAAGCCTAGCAAACAAGACAGCAAAAAATCTAGCAGCCCAGCCCCCTCCTCCCCTGCTTGAGGAAAAGAAGCAAGACATCCGTGACATGAATTTCGCTGAACCCTTGCCCAGTTCCCAGCCAACCGCTTCTTTCCCAAGGTCAGTAACTATTTGCGAGGCTATGTATATATATGTATATCTGGATATATGTGTAGAATATATTCACCTGCACATATGTGGATATACATGGATATGTGTGTATGTATATGCATAGATACACACATACACACACACACACACACATAATATTTTTCTCATACATGCCAGGGAATTTAGAGGAAATTCGGAACTTCAAGGGAGCAGGTGGGAGAACCTAAACAAAGTTAGAACAGATTTCATCATCAAGCTCAGATAAATTAACTCAGTTCTCGATTTTGTTTTGAATGGTGACTTTTTTTTTTTTTGGTGTTTTGTTTTGCTTTTAAGAAAAAAAATCATGATCTGACTAGAATCAGAAGGAGAATGCTTAATCATTGTGAATTAACAAATGAGACTCATCTCCATTATAGCAAGCAGCTTCCACTTATACATGGGGGTGACTGGTTACATCAAGAAAGTTAGAACCGCAAAGCCCCCAGTTGAGGGGACAACGTCATGCGTATATCAATCCATGCTGGCAGGTTTTTCACACTGTTGATTCAACAAACAGCAAACCGTACACAGCAGTCTAAACAATTACAACACCAAATAAAATAATAATAAAATTAAAAAACACTTGTCAAGGACCCTTTTTCAGTTGTAAACAAAAAGGTGCATTTTGCTTTTGTCAGTACTGTTTTTTCCAAACCAACCAAAAAGCCCCCCCCACCCCCAGTTCCCCAGCCTCCCCTCCCCACATTTAATTTAGCAGAGGTGGTTACAATACAAACCTTACAATTGTTACCAGGCTCTCTCTCAGAGGCCTCTGGCTTTGTACTCTATAGTTTTTTTTTGGTTTAGAATTTTTTTTTTTTAATCATTCTGTTACAGTAGAGATTTTGTTTTTGTTTTTGGTTTTTGTTTTTCCTTTTGAAGTGAGATTTAAAATAGCCTAACTGGAAAAAGACCAGACCTAGGAAAAGTGTCAATTGAAAAAGGCCCCCAAATTTCTAGAAAAAAATAAAATCACAATATTTTCAAGTGCAAGTAAATCAACCACGCATAGATATTTTTTAAGCTGTTTTCCTTATTTTTAAGAAAAAAAAATAATGGTTTGCACAGTTAAATGATCCCATGTTTGATAATTCAGGAATTCATCTTTATTTTTACTATATTTTTTTGTTCTTTTGTTTTGTTTTTTTCTCTATGTGACATCTAGAGAAGCATAAAAAACGCTTAACAAGAAAAACCAAACAACAGAAAGTAAAACCACTGCAAGCACCAAGAACAAAACAAAAATGAGCACAGCAAAAAAGATTGTGGCAGCACAAAAGTCAAGAAAATGCACGTGTGATCATGACTGGCCAATCATCAACTGATACAACATCCAAGAAAAACGCTCCAATCACAGCACCTCCACGAAACTTGACGGCAATTGTCATGCAACCGATTCTTAGCCTTGTTACATGACGCCATCATGTCACACTGTGAACTTTGAGTTGATTTGAACTTACGGATGGGGGACTGTTTTCTCCACTCTCATGTGATTACGTGAACTTTATTCCTAGCTCAGCGCGAGACTGTGGTGGATTTGACTGGCCCTGGTTGGGTTGTTGGAATTTGATTGAATGACAAAAGAAGAAAAGATTTTTATATATATTTATATATGTAGAGAGAGAGAGAGAGAAAGAAAGAGAGGACAAGAGAGTGTGGGCAAGGGGGAGGGAAGAGGCAGGGGCAGGTTGGGTGGGGTCGGGGAGTGTGGGAGGGCAGGGACGGTCGGGTGGAGGGTGAAGAAGGGCAAGGAAAAGTTAAAACAAAATCAAAAGGAAAAATATTTATACAGCACCAGACCACAGCATCAATCTAAAAGCTCTGATGAGAGAACAGCAGTCAAATCATAAGAGAACTGAAAAGAACTCAAAGGATGGAGGAAGCCGGCAGACAAACGACATGGGCACATCAACACACACACACACACACACGCACACACATACGCACACACGGTTGTTTATGCAGACACGTGGTACTGTGAACAGTAGCAGAACCTCACACAGGGCCACTAAGGGCATCCATCATGCGTTGGGAGGAGGAAGAGGGGAGTGCGCAGTTTGGCAAGAGGGCTAGGAAAAATAAAACAGCCCCTCGAACCACCGTGGCCAGCAAGCAGATCAGGGAGGACGCTCTCTGATTTGTATCACCCTCGGTTCTCTCTCCCCCGGGGGTGGGGGGCGGCACGCTCTCCTCACTCCCCCAGCCTTCTGTGGCATCAGCCTGTGGACCAGCAGAGGGAGCCTGTCAGGGTCACCCTGAACGGCGGGGCGATCAGAGGCTGGCTAAGGTGACTTGTATCCGAGGGGTCCACTCACGGGGCCCTGTGCTGCCACAGTAGAGTCCACAGCACCAGCAACTCGGTCCTTCTGCCCCTGTGGTCCCGCCTTGGCCACCCTCCCCAGAGAAGAGGGTCTCCTCTGCAAGAGCACCCACTGTGTGACGTTACGGTCCTCTCCTCTTCTGCTCTGCCCCAACCCTCTTTTCTTAGAACCTTCAGAAAACGAACACGTTCAGTTTGGAGATTGAGAGTAAATCACATCAGTGTTACTGGAATTCTACGAACACGCCTTGGCATTGCTGATTTCATTTCATGATCACCTCATACCCTTCGCTATGCTCCCAAGGTGGCCCATGTGGCCAAAGTGATGCTACTTCCGGGCACATGAAGCCTTTAGAAGGCTCCACAGCGCTGACCCATGGAAGGGCCAAGAAGGAAGACTATGGGGTGCCCTCCACCAGGGAGGGGAGTGCTATGGCCCTGGTCTCCAGTCTCTGCTGCTGTCACTTCTGGTCTGCTGACCTCCCCTCCTCCACCTTGTCCTCCTCCGTTCCCTACACCCCTGCAGGTACATCTTTCTAGACTGACCCATCTCACAGGCCTTCTTTACCTCCTTCTTTACTGGTGGAGCCCTAGGTGGCTGGGGCTGAGTCCCCTTCTCTGTCAGGTATCATCACATTCTTCCACTTTGAGTTATCTTCTGCCCTCCTTACCACGTCACGGTCCTCTGCCCCAAACCCAGGAATTTGGAGGTTCCCAGCCCTACCCCCTCCTCATGGTTACCCCTGAGCTTGCTCCCCAGCCCCCGCTCCCTGAAGCCTCTGCACCTGGCTTATCTGCAGGGGTTTCAATCCACCAGGCTTCTACACAGAGCAGACTTCCACTCTCAGCTTTGTGTCTTTCTTCAGGGAGTGTGGAAGGGGAGCCTGGCATCTGAAATGTCACTGTGGGTAAGCTACCAAGTCGCTGAGGGGTGACTCTATTTTAAGCACATACCCAGCCTCCGGCTCTGCCTTCACAGAACAGCTTTTCCTTCACAGACCCCTGCCTGCCGGCCCATCCGAGCTGGGCTTTTTGCTCTTCTATGGCAACTGCAACTAAGGGGCCCCTGGGGACCCCCTCCATTCCCCACCCCCCCACTCCTGAGCACCTCATGGGTGCCCATTCCTCCCCACTGGACTTGCTCCTAAGCCGGCCCCCAGTTTGCCTCTAGCCGGCCTTCGGCGCCTGCGCTGTTCTGGGTCCTGAAGATCCAAGCTGACCATCACGCAGCACCTCCTCAAAGCCCAGCATGGGGAACTTCTCGTACCCACTCTTGCCCCTCACACACACACATGCTTGGCCCGACACACAAACATGCTGTCACACTCATTCAACCCCTCGGGAGCCTCCCCAAGGCTCTGCATGTGCACAGCTGGCTAGCTGACTACTCTCTTCATTAGGGAACAGGCGGACCCTTGCCTGCAGGGATGACCCCTTCTTGCCACCCTCTCAAAGATCCTCACAAAGCACAGCCCAAGAGGTGGCAGCAGGGTCACTGACCAGCAAGGGGAGCTTGAATCAGGCCTGGGAAGCTCCAACTCACGACCTGGGAGAGGAAATTATGGTCAGCTGAGCCAAATCAGATGCCAGGTTCTAAACACAGCTGGGCTCCAGCCAGAGAAGGCCCCGCCCCAAAGCCGCCGCCCAGCCCCGAGCAGGTGAGGCCCAAAGCACCCATACCTGCACAGCTCAGAGCAGACACCATGCAAAAGCACACTCAGAGCCACAACCCAGGACCCAGAAGAGAGAGGACTCCCACTGAAGTCAGACACGCTGCTCAGTGTCCTCCAACCACAGAACCTGCCCTCAGCTTGGGGCCCAGCATGTGCTACTGATCTCTGTGGCAGGACAACGGACTTGTCTATTCTGCTCACTGTCTGTGGACTTGGCCACACTTTTGCCCAGTCTTCTTACCTTTGCCTCCTCCCTCTTAGTTTCCTGGTAAAGATTTCTTAGAGAAACCCCCACCTTAGTACACGGTAATGAGCCCAAGCAACCAGAGGGGCAGGGGCATCAGGGAAACCAGGAGCGGGTGGGGGGTCATACCCTCAGGAGACATCAGGATTTGGGGAGCCAACCTGACTCCACCCAGGCTGCACATTATGGAACCAGCACCCAACCACACTCCCCACAGCTGCCCAGCTGGGGCCCCCTCCTCCCCTAGATCTGCCACACTTCTGTTCTAACCTGGCTCTGGACCCACGGTGACTTCGGGTGGCCAGCTGGGCCCTGGGATCCCTCCATCCCCTCACCCCTTTGCTCCCAGCTATGGCTTGTCCCTCCACCCTGTCTGCTCAGGCTAGCCCTGTCCCTCTGAGCATCTAGGACTCATCATTTGCAAACACCCTTTATGGGCCTGTAAAATCGGGGGTTTTTAGCTGTTTTTGCATGCTGTTTCCTCCGCTTGTCTCTGCAGTCCCCACGCCTGTGCCTTGTCTCAGCATCTCCTTCTGTTACAGCCTCTAACAGGCTTAAGTTGGAAAGCCTGAAATCACCTTTTGTTAAAATGCTGTCTAAATGGATTAAAGGTCAACTTTATTTGTAGGAGTTATGTTATGTCATAGTTTTTTAGAAGACTGCTTAGAAGGGAGGAGCCCAGAGAAGTGAAATGTCATGACATGCCCCCTCAGATATTCAGGACAAGACTCTGGAGTGGGAGGGGTGGGGTGAGGATAACGGGGAGCAGGGGGTGGTGATCATTCTCCTTACTTAAAGGCACTTAGGAGCACAGCCTCTGGAACAAGGCTCCAGCTTCAAATCATGGCTCTACCACTCAGTAGCTGATAGGCAAGTAACTTAATCTTTTGTGCTCCATCTTTAAAATGGGAATCAAGACAGAGTAGTCAGAGTGATACAGTTACACCTTAGACTTGTAAACTGTAAGAACTGTGCCTCGTGTACGGTAAGCACCACGTGAAGTTTGGGTTCTCGGCTGTCTGGTCCTGGTTTTCCCTGGGGGAAGAAGCCCTCTGCTTTCTTTCTTTTTTTTTTTTTTTTAAAGATTATTTATTTATTTATTTGAGAGAGAGAGAGCACATGAGAGGGGGAAGGGTCGGGAGGGTCAGAGGGAGAAGCAGACTCCCCGCCGAGCAGGGAGCCCGATGCGGGACTCGATCCAGGGACTCCAGGATCATGACCTGAGCCGAAGGCAGGCACTTAACCAACTGAGCCACCCAGGAGCCCAGCCCTCTGCTTTCTAAACCATGCCTCTCAAGCCCTCACTACAACTATGAGTGTCAGCTGCTTCCACCCTGTGGGCCACTTCTTACCTTCTGTCCCAAACAGCAAATCTGCCTCACTTACCCTTCCTCTGGGAATTTCTCTGACCTACAGATTCTATCCTTGCTTGGGTTTTAGTTGCCCGTAGGTCTAGGAGGCTAAGACAAGCTGCTTTCACGGGAGACATAAAACATACCCACAGGGGCCCCTCGGAATCTCAGGGCATGGCCCTGGAGCATGCCCCCTCCTTACAAATCCTCTGATGACTCCAATACCTTGGTTTCATTAATGTAGAAATGGTAGCCCAAGAGGTCATGCCTTCATGGCAGAGCTAAGTTTATCTATGAAAAAGGGCTCTCTGTCCAGAAAGGGTTGCTCTCACTGACCGACCCCCCCACTCCTATGGAAGTGCACCCCCTTGCAGGCTGCGTCCTGCTGTCTGTACTTGCTGAGCCAGAAGCTCGTGCGGGCAGGATGGTGACCCTCTCATCTCTGCAGGCCAGCACCAAGCCCAGGGCCCGGCCTGGGAAGGGGCCACACTCTGAATGAACATGGGTGTACGCATCTTCACATGAGCCAGAGATGGGCAGGGGTGGGGACTCAGCAGGCAAGAGAGGCGGCTTTTGCTTTTCCAGCCTTGCAGAAAGTAGAGACTCAAGCACCCTCTTTGACAGAGGTGAGTGTTGCTGCTCCTGGGCAGATGGAGGGTGTTCTGCTGGTAGTGGTGGGATTTGAGACTGGGAAACTGGAGATCTCCCTCCCAAACTCCAGACTCTGAACCTCCACGTGAGTGGCTAACTCACGGGCTTTCCACCAACGCCTCTTCATCTCGGGTCACGGCAACTCTGCTCTTCCAATCACTCGGGCCAAAAGTTGGGGCTCATCCTTGACTCCTTCTGTCACACCCGCCTCCGATTCATTATAAACGCATCCTGGCTCTGCCTTCCCAAAACACCAAGAACGCAACTCCATCCTACCACACTGACTGCTGCTGCCCCAGATGGAGTGGTCCACGCACTAGCCTTCTGCTTGGGCTGCCACAGTCTGTCAACGCAGCAACCAGTCATTGTGCTGACATGCAACGGGTCACACCACTCTTCTACTCACTGCTCTCCAACAGCTCCCCAGCACCCACTCCCGTAGTCTATACAATGGCCTGCAGGTCCTGCTGGAGGTGGTCCTCCTCACCTCTGGGACCCCCTCTCCCGCCATGCTCCCATGCTTGCTCTCCTCCAGCCACTTTGTTCTGCTCTTCTCCAACACACCACCCTGCCCTCTCTTTGGAGCCTTTGCACTGGCTGAAAGACTCGCTCCTCCAGATGCCGGCATGGCCCCCGGCCTCACCTTCACGTCTTTGCTTGAATGTCACCTACTCAACAAGGCCTACTGTAACTACCTGATTTAACTGTAATCAACAATTCTGACACATTATATAATTTACTCTTTGGTCATATGTGCTTGTTTATTGTCTGTCTCCCCTTCTAAGGACAAGGGTTCTTGTCAGTCTTATTCGGTGCTGAGTCCCAAGTACCTAACAGTACCTGGTGCACAGTACTGCTGATGGGAGTGGAGGGGCAGAGGGCTGGGAGACCTGCCTCTGGCCTGTGGGTGAGCTGGGCCTACAGGAGCGCCCAGCAATGTGGGATACCAGGCTGAAGGAGGGCCTGACACATCTCCCCCAACCCCCTCCCCCTTTCCCAGGAAGCTGCTTCACCCAGGGGAACAAGTGGCCTGGAAGAGGAGTAGCCAACTATGTCTCCAGCCTCCAGGCAGGACCCAGACTGAGCAGGAAGGGCTGACGACTGCCCACTCATCACGTGGTAAAGCAGGCAGGGCAAAGTGGTTCCAGTGCTAGGCCATCACCCTCCTCAACTTCTGCCCCAGACTGACTGAGCTACGGAGAATTGGAGGGGTGAGGGGGTCAAGTGTCTAAAGACCACCAGCCCTCAAGGCAGGAGAGATGGGAAGGGGAGAGCCAGGGAGTCTAGGAGAAGGCCCCAGGAGACGTGGACAGCTCCCCCTCCCAAACTCTCCCAGCCCTGAGCTTGCCACAGGCTCACCCCAGGGTTTTCTGGCAAACAGGATTGCCAGTGTAGACCTCCTGGATGCACGGTCCAGGGCTCGCCCCACCTGCTCAGAACTGTTCCCTCACTCCTGCTACTCTTGGCTCTGCAACAGGGGGATGGCCACGCCCATTTCTGCCAGATGACCACAGCTCTAGGCCTGCCCCCAGGCACCGGCTGAGGAGCAGGTCGAGCTGGGCGCAGCGGGTCCAAGGCAAGCGAGGGTCCAGCTCAGGAAGGCCAGAGGAGGCGGCGGGTCCGAACGGTGTCCCTTCCCCAACCCCCCGTCCCCGCGCCCCGGCCGCCCCCGGTTACCTGTGCGAGTCCTGGTCTCCCCCGGGGGACGCTCCCGCCGGCGCTCAGTATGGGCGATTGGCGTCTTTGGGCCGCTTCAGCTGCACCTTGAGCCTCTTCATGCCGATCTGGAAGCCGTTCATGGCCTGGATGGCGGTCTGCGCGCTGGCCGGGTTGTCGAAGCTCACGAAGCCTGGCGAGACACGAGGGACGAGGGCCTGCGTTTCCACGGGGCCGCCCCGGCGGGGAGGGGTGGGTGGGGAGAAGGGCGGGGCCCG